ACTGATGATTTTTGACAGTGATATATTTTTATTATGATATGAATCTTTTTGTAATGTGCAGAACAAATTGAATAACAGCTGACAAGAAAGAACGTGAACTTATTATACTCCTAAAATTGATCTATTATATATAAAGAAAATAGAAAGACATTTGCAATAGTAACGATCACAATTTTATAAGCTTTAAAAACAGAAAAGATGGATTATTTTACCATTCTATCTATTTCAATAAATACTCTTATTGGCTAATAATAATTTTGGTGAAGGTGTGAAATATCACTTAAACAAGAAGAAATCGATGAAAACGATTTTTAGGTGACATCAGATTCACATTGATATGCATAGAAAAAAATATAATATCATTTTTTTAAATTTGTTGCATATTATTAAATGTTTTCGATGAGAATAGGCTACATCTTTTTCAACGGCCTCGTAAGATTATTCATAATATGTCAATCAAATACTTTTCTTCCTCTTATGTTTCCCATGTGCTAACACGTGCACTTAGAGACTTAATCGTATAAACGTCGAAACAAGAACAGCACTGACTTCAATAAAAGAATTGAAATTGTTTTAACTAGCGAAATATTTCGAAAAATTCCACTTCAGATTTTAAGTTATTAGAAACCAATCTTCCTATACCGGAAAAAGCTCTGTTTCCGTAAAAAAGAATTAGATAATTTGCGACTATTTTGTGACAGTTATATTAATGAGCCGACGATTTTGAATTCAGTTCTCATGACAGATTGACAAACTTCCAGAGAATACAAAATACCCAATAAATAAAAAAAAACTAAAAAAAAAAAAACAACAATTAAAGAAGTATGCAGAATTTTAAAACGTGAATTGACGTTATTTCTCTAGAAAAATATGTTTCTTATCTTGTCATGTCAAGGAAATTTTCAGATCGGAATCTGATAGTTTTACGATAATCTGAACTCCGAATACTTTTCAAAAATTACCATACTTTTTTCGATTTGAATTTAGGTTTTAAAATTAAAGGATTATTGTTCATCAATGCAAAATACTTGCCTATCAGGATGATTTTTCTATGCATCCTCATGTATATGCATAGAAGGACACGTATTTTGCTGATTTCTTTTCTTCGATTTCGTTTTAGACAAAACAAAATATGTAAAATATTTAAAACATATTTTTTTGATTTTTCTTTCAATTGACAGAGTAAAATTTTCGTTTCGAATAATTTTAGAAATAAATTACCAAGAAATTCAAAATAATTTAGACAATAAACTAAATAAAAAATATGAATTGCTAAAAACAAAATTTTCATGTATGAATATTGTTACAGAATTGCTTAAGAACTACATTTCATATGAGTTTCTTTTTCTTTTATTAGTTATGCACGTAATATATGAACTATCTTATGCACATATCGTTGAATGAAAAAAGAAAACCAAGCAACTTTAATAAAATAACACATTATTCAAAAAGAAACAGAAGAAAAAACATTCTTTTTTCTGTTGAGAGATTGTTTTCACTTTCATGTGAACTCGGATATACTTTTTTGAAATAGTCTATGAGAATCACTGAAATTTTGATGTTAATTAGAACAGTGTAGTTTTAATTCTATATCAACGAAATAAATAAAAAGATTTCCAAGTGATCGATAAGTCAAGCACATTAGATCAAATTATTATTGTGTAGAAATGAACGCTTTTCGATCAAAAAAAAAAAAAAACGTTTCTTCTCAGTTTTTGTATCATCAATATTGTTGCCATTCAGTTTTTATCGAATTGAAACAATAGTAAAGATTGAGTCTCTAAGGGTCTATAATATCTTGAAATCTATATATTATTTTATCTAAATAAAAATTGAATTTTGAAAAAAATTCTTCAAATCTCCAATATAGCAAGTCGATTTTTAAATAGCATTAATTGTTGTTGTTCCTCGTTCTTTTCCATATGATAATTTATCCTGCATAGCTTCAAATACTTTATATTGAATAGAAATCAAATTCCTCCAGACAAAAATTATTTCAAGAAAATAATTTTTTTTGCTATAGAATCTATCGAATAAATATCGTTTCTGTTGATATATATATATACTTTCAAATGTGTTTTGTACATATTCAAGTGTGACTTTATTTGATAATTTATCTAACTGTATCGTATTTATTGTTTGAATATATTTGAAGTACACATGTACATCCGACAAAGCATCACATAATATTGATGCAGCCTTTCGATACATTGTTTATATATAAATACTTCTTACTTCCACCTTAATTTCACTAGCATTACATATTACAATAATTGTGATTAATAATATATGAGGATAATATAGATGGCGCTAATGTATAATATCTTATCGATCAATGTCTTATTATGTATCATTGTACTGTATTTCTTGCTTGCTCTATTCTAATAAGTTAAATTTCTTAAATGCTTGTCTTTGAATACATAAACTATTTGAATCGTAACTTGTAACTCCTCACCGTATACTAACTCTATACTTCTAGTTATACAACTTGTCACTGTCTTGAACTATTGTAATATCCATGTACATGAAGTCTATTTTTCTCTCTCTTTCTTTTTCTTTATTACTTTTATTTATGTGAACCTATGTATGGCACAATAAAATAAATGCAAAAAGTCTTTCGATATATTAAGTCAAATGCAACTTTATCAAATAATGATGATAAATCTGAAGCAAGATAAGTTTTTACTATTCTATTTAATTGTTTAAATGTCTATAAATGAAATAGAAGATGATTTAAACTCGAAATAAATATTTCTACTTTTCATTCATTCATATATATGTGTAGAGAATCAGTGAAATGATACGAAAAAGAAAAAGAAAAAATTTCAATGTTAAAATGAATTTCATTTTTATATTTGCAAAAGAAATTATATTAAAAGATTTATAAATATTGTTACGTCTTCATAGAAATAGATCTTCAATCCTCATTCAGTACATTTGTCTAAAACAAATATATTTATTTATACTGAACATACGCATTTAATAATTTACTTTAAAAAAATAGTCACGATTCCTTTTCATGTCAAATAAATATTTTCATTCAGAAACACATTAATTCTATGTTGTTGAACAGCATCTTTTAGATTTATTTGATTATAAGGAAGACTTTTTTTTCTCATGAATTAATATATTACAAAAAATTTTTATTAATTTTATCAAGAAAATGAAAATAGATGAAGATACATTAAATGAGAATCCTTTTAATGAAAATTTAACTTGTAGTTTTCGTTTATTTCGTTTTATATTTATTATTTTAAATAATAATCATAATTTTATTCTTTTAACAAATTATTCGATTTCTAATGAATCAACTAAATATTTTTTTCGACACGATTAAATCTAACATTATAGTTACAAACACATTAATATATTTAATGGAAGGTAATCTAATCTATTAGATTTAATAGAAAAAGCCTACAGATTTTTTATTCTTTAATCTGATAATTATGTAATATTGTTTACAATTGCCAAATAAAATATTTTCAAAATGAACTATCAAGTGATACATAAAGAATTATTCTGTTTCTATTTTCGAAATGTCTTCTCTATTATCCTGTTGAAAGTAACATGTTTTTATCAAACGGTAGCACTTGAAATTCTTTACAAAATGGTATATTTTATTTAACAAATATAGCTTCCACCATTTTGCTGGGTTCAAGTCAATCGTACAGCTAAATCAAATACAAAATATAAATTTTTCTTAGTTTTCAATTTTTCTGACGGAAGACATTATTCAATCTATCGATGTTGTCTTGATTTTTATATGATTTCAATAGATAGTTTCACACAGTTCAATTCATCAACTAAATGCAATAGTGTGAATGATCAAGTGTGGACTAAACAGAGTAGAAGTGGACAAGAAAGGTATTGTTCATTAACAGACGAAATTTCCAGGTAAAGATGACAGTGTAGTTAGATGCACGTAATAGCTCTTAAAATCCGGCAACAAAATATTTCGAAATTACCTGACATGTCAACAAGATGCTGCAAACCTACATACTTATTACCTGAGTCGAAAACACTGTATCATTTTCCTCAGTTTATTCCGAAGATCCATTGGCTATTAAATTCGCTTGATTTGTACCCATTAGATTATGGTTTATAGAATTAATTGATTAAAGCTATCTAGTGAAACCATATAATCACAAAGACGACATCAGTAGACGAAATACAGCCTTTCGTTAGAAAAGGAAAAAAAAATAAGAAATTTACATTTTGTACTTGATTTAGCTGTACGATTGATGTTAACCCAGCAAAATGGAAGAAACTATATTGATTAAATAAGCTATTCTATTTTTTTTTATAGAATTTCAAGTGCTATCTTCAGATTAAAAGAGGTTTTCACTCAAAAATGTAATAGAGGAAGAATCCCGAAAATACAAAAAGGGTAACTCTTTATGCACTACCCGATATCATATTAAATCAATTCTTAATATTCTTGATTATCCAAATAATAGTCGATACCCATATGGACGTTTTTGGCAAGTGTGTCATGAACACAATTTAACTGTTCATGAATGATTATTTACTTGTCTAACTTTAGGTATAAGATCATTCATTTATTATAACTAACTTTCAGAAAAAAGAAAATTCATTAATAGATATACAAGAGACGATATATATCATTGAGAAGATTATATCCATTACAGAAAATATATCTTAGTAACACTAATCAAAGAAGACATTGTGACAATTTTCGGTAACTGGTGCTGTTTGAAATATTCTATCAATAAGATCAATTCAAATACTAAATTATTATCTCATAATATCAGTTGATTGAATAACCAATAATCGGTTCTACCGGATTAGTATAAAAAACACATTTACTTGAATTAATTATGAAACGAGTCTGCAAAGTATTTAATTAGTATTATTTACTGCTACTACTACTCTAGTCTTCATAGCTGGGATACCACTTTCTTGTAATAATATTTTCTCTTTTACATACTAAATCATACAGAAGGAATGAGTTCAAGAATCCGTTAGGCATACTAAATAGAATGGCAAATAATAATGCAGGTAAATCTAGAAGAAAAGAATACATGCAAATAGAGATATAATAAAAAAGATTTTCATGATTATATCAACTTCTAGATTAGCTTCTAATACTAAAATAGAATTTGATCCACTATGTTCATAGAATCGAAGGAAAATTAATTTATATTTGTCTCAGAGTATCAATTTTAATTATTGCACAAAAGAAGAATTAATGAATGATTATAATTGCGTATTCTAAGCTAAAGACAGGGACTTGCGTAATATACTCACATAGTCTATATCCAATATTCATTTGTTCCTCTAACAAATCAATATTTTTCTAAAAAAAATATTCTAAGAAATTTTTATATAGAAATTAATTCTAATATACATGTATGTCATCATTTATGAACACTCGGTCTTTGTTTTGTTTTTTATACTGTTCTGAGTTCGGCTCTGAGAGAACTAAGCATTCATATGCGCAGGTGTATAAGATATATATACATGAAGGCTAGTTCTTAAATGTGAATACTTTTTTTTTGGGTAAAGTAATGGAAAATATTCACCAAACGTAATCGGGATGAAGACATAAGAGAGATACAAATAACTATAAAACTAAAATATATTTGCATTTTATTAGGATCACCGCAAAATTTTTTGTGTGAAAAAAATACAGAAAACTATTAACGACAGATAAATTAATATCTAACTGTTTTTGAGGTTTATAATCGAAGATTGTTCTTGCTATTTGTATCCAATAAATTAATATATTGATAATAAAGAAAAAATGATCTCTTTTGATAACCAGCAATATTCAAGAAATCATAGAAGTATATTTCGTTTTCGTGAATAAATATGTTACCATATGTTATTCATACGATTCTTTGAGAACGTGTTAAACGTTATTGAAGTCGACTGATTGTTGATTTTTGAATATATATTTATTAATTTAAATAATTTTATTCAGAGTATTTATTAAAAAATGATCTGAACGACACGTGCCGTCTGACAAAAATGTAACTTGAAGAAGACAATATTCTATCTTAAATCAAACTATTTGAATTGTTCATATTAATATATATTTGTTTTTATTCCTTCCCTCAAATCCAGCTGATTTTATCGCTCTCTTTTTCTCTCTTCTTCTCAATTCTACTTTGTCGACATTGTTTTCTCTTTCAATAGGCTTAAAATGTCTTCAATCGAGAAGGTATTTAAATCAATNAAGTGATCGACCATTAGCACCATCAATTGCTATAAAACCTCGACCGTATTCATTTCGAAATACAGGACGTAGTGCTCTTGAACGACAAATATCAAATATAACAGAACGTGTGTCACAATTACAAGAAACTTTTTTTTCTCGTCTATCAAGTCCATCTAATTTGCAACAAAATAATTCATTATCAATTTTTTCTTCAACATTAACTGATACTAATATAAATGATTCTTCTACATCAAATACATCTTTAAATAAGCCTCGACCGAAATCTGAAACTTATGATGATCATCATCGTGCTAATGCAGGTAATAATCTTGCATCACTATGATCATCATATTTTCAATACCATGATTATCTCTCTGAATACTTATGTTGATAACATTATATCGACAAATAGAGACAATATTGAATGACATATTGAGATACCAATGGAGAAAAAATGAGTAGACATATTTTTACTGTCTTATTCATATTAGCCCATTGAATATCTTCTTTGGCTGCTATTTTGACATTCAAGACATTAATTTTGCTGTTTCGCTGCTAGCCTTCCGTCTATTATCGTTAGTATGTTGATAGATGCCTAAAAAAGAAAGATCTCTTTACATACATTAGATATCCATTAATCTTTGTCATTCTATAAATTCTTTTTCTTTTCAAAATTTTATCTTAAAATGAAATTTTTTTATTTAGCTGGTTCTTATGCTCAATTAACTCTTCTTGGCCAACCGAAAGTAAATTCAGTATCACAAACGCAAAAGACAATTCCAGCTGATTATCAAAATGGTCGAGTACAATATCGAACACAATCTTCAAATCCTGAAAGGCCACATAGTACAATTGGTTCAACTTCATTGAATACAGTATTCGATACAAAAAAAGCACGAGAAAATTATGAGAAAATTTTTAAACAATTGGAAGTATGAATCGAGTTTTTGTTAATTTTTATTTTTAAGAATTAAAAAATTTTGATCTTTTTAGGCTACTAAAAAAGAACTTGATCGTCAACGTGCAAAAGGTCTTACTTATAATCCAGCAAGAATTTCACAACTTGAAACTCAAATAAAACAACATGAACAACAATTGAATAAAATGAAATCTTTTCTAGAATCAATTGATGTAATAAAAAAAAAAAAAAACAAGAATTTTTTTCTTTACGAACAAAAATATTAAAATTTTATTTAGTTATCAACCGAATCATCATCACATTTCTATGATGATAATGTTAATAATCGACCCAATACATTTATTGAATCATCTAAAAGTCGAACAAACACAGTAAGTAAACAATAAAAATGAAACTAAAAGATAAATCAAAATTGAAATTTTTTCCTTAACATTCATTTGTGTCGTCACCCCCACATATATTTCTCTAGCAATCTCATGGCACCAGCGGTCACAAGAAACAGAGTTCACTACCTGAATCAACAGTTTTACAAGTAATGACAGGATTTTCGCCTTCGACTTCTGTCAATTCACCGTCACAGCACATTAAACGTAAATTTCAAAGTGGGAAAAGTGAGACATATGATCTTATCAAGGTAAAACGATCAATTACTTGATCACACATAAACATATCTTTGTACACTAATCATCATCCTTGTTTACAAATAGAAATGCACAGTATTTATTCTTGCCTATTTCATATTATTACAATTGCTTTTTCTATGACACATACACACATACATTCTTCCTCTATTGCTAATAAATCTTGTGTTTCATCATTTCTGTTCTTTAAATNCATTATTATTACAATGGACATAAATTCTGAATATACTTGATTATACACAAGAAGCAAGGTCGTCATCAATATTAACACCATCATCCTTAATAACACATAAATAGATAGTCAATTTGAATCTTATTGTGATTTAATATGTCATCATGAATTATATGTTGAACATTTAACATCAATAACAACACCTTATCAATTTTTTTTATTTGAACAAAGTGATACATGTACACATCTATATAATTTATTTGGTCTGATACATCCGTACATCAGTTGCAAGTCATTGATTCATTTGTGAAGGAATACATTTAGATAAAAGTGATCTTTTATTAGTTTTATTAATTGAACAATTTCTTCCATTATCATATATATATCTGTATTACATTTAGCTGAATTAATTGTTTATGATCATATTGAAGTGATGTTAACGCTTGATCAACAAGCATTTAGTAAATAATTATTACAGAAATATTTACCATTAATTTTGTAAATATTACCAATATCAATGGATATTATTATGTCACCAGTATGGTTTAGTTATATAGAAAGAAGAACGAGTTTTAATTACATAGGTAAGAAAGAAAAAATGCAGAATTTCAGGAATCGTAAAGGAAAGCATTTAAGTTACATTAGTACAATGACCGAAGTATTTGTCTTGGATCTCATTCGTCAAATTCTGAGTCATGCTATGTGTACTGTTACAACTAAAGAAAACGACGTCTTTCTAATATTATGAAATGACTAATGAAGAAAATAATCATAAATAGTTTTAAAAGCTATCTCGTAAGATGTTTTCGATTGTTTTATTTTCAACCCAAAATAATTTTTAGAAATCAGAAATTTCAAGTTTATGAAACATTCTCCTAAACAAATATCATGAACCGATGACTGTGGATGCAACAGTGATGTTCATCTTATATTTATTACAAGTTTTTTTGATGGAAGGAAGTCTATTTCAAAACAGCTGCTGAATTTTATAAAACACCACGAAGTCTTTCTCGAACGATAAAATTGCATTCGAGAATTTCGACAAACTTTCTATAGGTTTGAATTCCTGGGCACCGCGAACCTATTGGGTTTTTTTCATAGCATAAAATTTTTAGAATGATTCTTATAGTAGATGAAAACTGATTTGAGAAAATAAGAAACAATATAAATCTGTTCTTTTTTTATTTTCCTAGGATTTTGTATAGTTATCAAATGCCTCATTGTCTTATCCTTGGTATTTTATCAACACAATGATTAATATCAAATGAAACAAATTAAAATGATATTGAAACAACACCTAATACAATTTATGTAAAAAGTCTTTTATTATGCTTCTAATAATCAACCATATTCAATTGCATTAATAGATTCTATATCAATGCATTTTGATAGAATACAAAATCATGTTAAATTAATATGTTAGTTTTCAACAACTAATATACGTGACTTATTACGTTTTATAATATTTATATCAGAAATAATTTATATAAATATATTTGAACAAAAAAATCATTTCTTAGTTGTGAAAGAGATCAAATAATATCATGTTGTACATTATCGAAAACGCTACTATTCATATTTGAATATCTTTATCAACGACATGGTTTAACTCTATCAAATAAATAAATCAATTATTACTTTTATTATTTAATGATCTTGGCCATCTTTATTATTTAACAAGAAAAATTAAATATACATATATATCGTATATTTATTGACATGATCTACGTTGTATAGATATATTATTATTATTTGTTTACCAATATTTAATTCATGTATACGTTTAACAAGACAATTTTGGAGTTGATTGATTATCAATGAATACAATTTCAAGAAATATAGGTTTTATTTTTAGCGTTCAATTAATCCACCACAAATCAATCTAATGATGAAAATGAACAGACAACAAATAATTTAACAAAAGAAAAAAAAATTAGAAACAAATGCAACACAATGGTAACAAGCTTCAAAACTAAATTAGATTTTAATTATTTGTTCTTTTCTTTTTACTCTACATAGTGTATGAATTCGTGGTGTAACAACATTTTTATTAAATGCACTTCAATTGAATTTTACAGAAAATCCCACTAATATGACATTTGAACATCGATGTTAAAATAAATCTATTTCATTTTTATTAACAGATTATCCTATGGACAACTTTCATATGATACTATATTAACATCAATTCAAAGTAATAATACATTACCATTAACAATTAATGTAAGTTGATATATGTTTTAATAATTGACAAGTAGAACTTGTGTTTTTGTTAATATTGAATATTCAACATAAGTGTATACAGAACTCTAAGTTAAGAGAAAGGCAAATTCATTGCTGAATTATTAATTTCATCAAACAAAAAAGTCTAGTGTATCTTTGACTTTGATTTGATATATAATACAGGGTGAGTCATAAATATCTTAACGATAAAAAATTTGAATATCTCCATTACGGCTCAAGGAAATGAGCTGTTTTTTTATCATTGATAGAAGCATGTTCAAAGTTTTTATCCATGAAGACATGCCTAGAAATATCCTTTTTTAAGTACCACTATTGACTTCAACAAAGAAATTTTACTTTTTCACAGATTGGAAATGAAGCAATATACTTAACAAAGAGTTCCTCTAGGCCTGTCTTCATGGATATAAACCTTGAATATGCTTCTATCGATGACAAAAAAATCAGCCTACTCACTCGAGCAGTAGTGGAGATATTTAATTGTTTTTTCGGCAAAGTAACTCTTGCGTCAATCTGTATACTGTTTTTCTTTCCAATCTGTGAAAAAGTAAAACTGTTTTGTTGAAGTCAATAGTGATACTTAAAAAAGCATATCTCTAGGCATATCTTTATGGATAAAAACTTTGAACATTCCTCTATCACTGATAAAAAATCAGCTCATTTGCTCGAGCCGTAATGGAGATAATCAAATTTTTTATCGTAAAGACGGTGTGGGTGTGGGTTAGTTGTTCTGTTGAGTAATACCCACACCCGCACCCGCACCCACACCCACACCCTCATTGAGTTTGGCATGTTCAGGACTCAAAAAAGATTGACAACGCTATGCTTTGCTTATTGGTTGTCTTTGCTCGCTTTTTCCACAGATATTAAGTTTTGTTATCTACGTTTTGCCATCGAACTTTTACAAGGCCGAATTTGCAAAAACACGAGTGGGCGCAAGATTATTGGGGGGTAAATCAGCATTGATTACATGGCAATCTTCGAGGTTTTTTTTTCACTGACTTATTATATTTTTATATATCGAGTGTAAACGATCTCTGCGCAATACTATTTCGATTATTTACGAAGTAAATATCTAAGTAAAGATGTGAATGTCTATTGCAACATGAATTATCATCGTTGTTAGATGTGGATTTGGTTGTGGTAGAGGGTGTTGGTGGGTACAGCTGTAGCGCAGTATCGTTAAGGTGAAGAGTAGACCAATACGAATACCCACAATCACAGCGACATACCCTAGCCAAGTTTTGTAATATGATGAACTTTTTTGTACAGCTTATCAGACAAGGTCTCACTACCTAATATGAGTATGGATGTTCTCACCCACATACTAATTTTTTTCTCTTTAATTGATCAATTCAGAGCTGATACAGCACTAAAATGTGGATGCGAAATATTTTCCAAACTGAGCTTAGACATCAACATGTATAGAAGTGTCAACAACCATAAATAAATTGCAGAAATCAGTAGTGAAAATCAACCATACGACTACATCTTCAAAGATGTGGTTTTCCTCTTTTATCTCAAGGGACTTTCCATTGGTGAGGTGGGTGTGGGTGTGGGTGGAGATGGATACGAAGCACGCCCACACCCCAACCACACCTGTAGGTGTACCCTATTTAGGGCTAAGCCATAGTTCATGAATATTCATCTAAAATACGTTGTTCGTATCACAATCAATATTACATCTGGCAACAGTCCTTTGTCAGAGCTTCAGTAGAGATTGCAAGACGATAGAGTTTACGAGCAAAAGAGAATTGTCTTAATGAATTTGCATTTGCGACAAACAAGAGTAGAAGAATCAATATTTGATTAAATACAATAGTCGTTCAAATATTAAACTCGGATTAAATGTTTTTTTTGTGTGAAAAATCTTTGTCGTCTGTTGAAACATCAGGGCAAAAATGGCCCTATGTTTGTTTTTGCTGTTTCAACTGGCATTGTTTTCAAATAGTTTTCTCGTTTCTTGCTCGGAAAACTCTACTTACCTGTATTAAGTCTAGACGTGCTTGTTTCAGCGAAGCAGTGTCTTTTGCAATAGGCACACATTATGCTTGATTATAAAACTCATTGTTTTTCTTGTATAACCTACTCAAAAGCCTATCACTGACATAAAATAGCAAGAAGTATTTTCGAAACATCAGTTTCTGTCGATTTTTCTATATATCTTTCACGCTGATCTTTCTATTGAGTTTTTCGAAATCCAATATCCACTAACCAAGAATGCTCGCATTAATCAGTTCTACTTCAGATTTTTTTCATCGATATCTAGATTACATTTTGTTTACAAACCTATTCTTTATATTCTGATTTAATAGAGAAGAAGCAGAATATGTCAAAAGAATGAACAAAATGGTTATCAACATCGAGCACAAAACTATTCGAGACGTTCTCTTTTTAGTATCATGTCTCGAGTGTGGATATTGGTATGGATGTGGATCATCAAAAAACTGAATACAACATTTACACGCGCATTCTCTTCTGCACGCACACCCTTATTAAGGTGTCTCTTATGATCTACAATGGTTTACCAGAGACTATCGACACACATCAGCAACCTTCAACACTGGTATCATTCGTATGTTGACAGATTTGGAGGATATTTTAGATCAATGTATTATAAGATTTCTATTGCATCATTGATAATTCATATACTTTACAAAAAGCAATTTTTCTGTGTACATTAAAACGTTAATTTATAAGTAATCCAGTATTTCTCTTATACACTAAATTATATATTGTTGTTAATAGACATTCAATTGTTTCGATATCCTCATGTATATAAACAAAAATTTTTTCAAGAATAAAAAGTTCCAAGTATATAGAGATGAGTATATTTACGATTGTAATAACTTGATACCAACTGCATATGAGAAAAACTATCGAAATATTTTGTTTAGCAGCTTTTGGTTAATATATATGAATATTATATATTATCGGTGTCAAAATAAAAAACATTTCAATTTTTTCTACTATTATTTGCATTTCGATGTCTTTTGCGGTGTCAAAATTTTTTATCTTCAATTTGTGTGCAAGATTCATTATGCGCAAACCACTCAAGCACATCGTTGCATACTTGAGTTTCGTTGTGTGTAACTTTCTGTGCACATGTTATGTAAATCAGTTCGCAACAGAATATGTGATAAGAAAAATACAAAAAAAAACTACGTAAAATTACGAGCGATAAGAAACGAATAAAATTGCTTTGATGCAAAGGTAAAAAAGCAAATCGTTCGACAAAACAACTAAATAGTGTGATATACACAACAACAAATCTAATCAAGAAGTTCACGTAAAAAAAAACAAATTCTCAATATATTGAATTTTGTTCATTTCGTTGTGGTGAGTAACTTATAAGAATAATGCCACAAGCAGAAACAAGCTTGCCAGATAACGCACACATATCAATAAAATAATCTATACGTTAGACATAGTTAAATCAAACATAATATCAATCCAAAAGATCGGCTTTTCTTTTGAACAATCGATTGATAAATATTTGTTAGGCTGTGAGTGTTCACACACACCCACACCCAGACTTTTTATATTTGTAAAGAAGTCATCGAAAATTATTTTAGGAAAAAAAACTTTTGAAACATCCTATGTAGAAAACACACGAGAGAGAATAAGTCACATTATTGATAAATGATCTATATTTGATATGAGTCTTTACACAATCGATGTCTTATTGTTAACTGTAATTTATTCTCTCAGTCAAGTAACAAGGAAGACAGCAAAATAAGAAAGATTCATGTTTTTTCTTTCTTTTTTTCTTCCATATATTTGATGATGCGTACATAATGGTCAGCGTAAATATGAATAAATAACGAGAAATCTTTTTCACCAAATTTATAACTTCATGGTGTGACACAGACATAAATTTCATTAGCAAAGCAGACCATATTGTCGAAGTTCTTGTTTCGAAGCGTCGAAGAGGTACATCTGCTCGTGTTTGCTCCGTGAACGAAGAAGAGATCAATAATGCGACAACACAGAATCATCGCAGGTGATACTTTTTTTACTCTCAGTCAAAAGTACGGATGCATACTCGAAGCAATACTCGCTGCGAATCCTGGCGTGATACCTGAGAAATTACAAATTGGTCAAATTGTGAATGTACCCGAAAAAAAAGAAGGTATGGTCTCTTCATATTTTTTTTCTTTATCTTTATTGTTTTCTAAATAGAAAGTCTATGTAGAAACTCACACGATGCTAATTTTGCACCTGCGCTCCTCCAGTTCTTGCAGATAAATACAGGCCTTAATGGAGAACAGTGGGACAATATTATGAAGCTTGTAAACAAACCCGAACAGGATTCTCTCGATTGGACACAATACTATGGCTATTGTGAAAACATCAATGATGGTCGAGGTTACACAATAAGCATTTTCGGTGCAACAACTGGTGGACCCAATGATATGGGACCCGATGGCCCAACATTATTTAAAGAATACGATTCTGTCAGCGGAGCCAATAATCCTTCTGTTGAAGGAGGCTTGAAGCGTATCGATATTCATGGCCGAATGCGAGACTCCATTTTGGAAATTACCGACAGTTCCAACAAGTTTTGTGATAAAATCAGTGGTTTGCAAAATGATGCATTCTGGCGAGAGGCCGTCTGGCGTACGTTCTACAATGTATATATCAAGTACAGCGTCGAACAAGCTCATCAACGCGGTTTTTATTCCGCTCTTACAATTGGTTCTTTTGTAGATACGGCGCTGAATCAGGGTGCAACTGGTGGTTATGGAAGTTTGGAGGGCGTGCTCTCCAGATCTGGAAGTAGTACAGATGAGAAAACTTTCATGGAGAATTTTTATAAGAAACGTAGCTTGGTTGTCGACACCAATGAATACAATCAACCACCTAACGGAAGTAATCGTGTAAAGCAATGGAGTTCTCTTTTGAAGATGGGACAAATGGATCTTCTAAATGCTGATACAGTCATTCTGAAAGTGACAAATTGGGAATTGAAATAAAACGGAATGTCAAAGACACAGCATCTCTGTTCATATTAATTTAAATTCAGAAGTTTTTTTTTTTTTATTTACTTTCAAAACTCATGCCATGTTTGTCGACTCAAATCAATGCCTGCTTTAGATTATCCAGGTGTGAATGTGTACGGGTTTCCAAGCGTGGGGTATTGGGTATGAAAATAAGACATACTCCCATAGCTTTGCCTCAATATACCGAATTCTAGAGATATATGAGTATTGAGTAGAGTATTCATCGGTTTACACTATATTCACTTCGAATTCTTAATTTAGCGACATATTGGTATGGTGAACAAATGAAGTTAATATTCTAATAGCTATGTTGTGAATCTCGATACCTGAGTTACGAACATTATGACATTTCTCTTTTTTTCGAAAAAGTATATGATGGATAACTCATTTCTATAGATTTCTATAATTATATTTATTTTTGGCAGATAATCACATATGTAGGATTTGTAATTCTTGCAGATGATCTTGTTGATCTATGTTATTTTAATAAGAAAGGAATCACATAACTTCATCTTAAAGCAACAGGAACTCTGAATAGTAAAAGTGAAAAAGTAATAATTTCAGTCTGCGGAGAAAAAAAACTCTTTGGGACTGATCATTAAATGTGAACATTTGTAAGTGGTTTCATTAATTACTTTATCAGTTATTACCAAATCAATCTTTGAAATGGCACATAAGTAATATTTAATAGACAAAATCAAAAAAAAAATAGTAATTAAATAATAGACGTGTTTGATAATGATTGAAAATATCTCACAGCAACTATCTAATAATTCGAAATGGAAAGTGAACGTCGCTCTTGAGCGTTTGAAGATCATTTTTTAAAAGGCATTATACTTCGCTCACCAAATTGCAGATCATTTACATCGATGCCCATTGAAATAAAATAATTTATTTAAAACACTGTCAAATGAGTGAACAAATCTAAATGTCTAGATCTTTCATAGTTGGTATTCACGCTCCACCATTTTATCGTTTCCAAAATTTTTGCCTCTAGATTATTATTCTACCGATTTATTCGATTCATTTTACACCGTTATACTGGCAAAACTGTTTTCTATTATCAGTTGTATCTTCAATAAATAACGTTTTTTTTCTTAATGATAATATATACGATACATGCCATATTAAACGACAAATATAATTTTATTCCTCGTTTCGCTGGTTCGACAACAACATTAGCCTTCTATACACATTGATTTAGTCATTTAGTAATCTTCTAAGCACAACATTCCTTCGCTAGACGAACATTGATATAACTATTCTGTTGAGTTTTTCTGCAATTTAGAATTGAATTAGTTCATAGTTTTCTATTTCCGTCCTATCATCAGCACTAGTTGAACATGCCTTTTCTCAAAACGGTCTTTTATGAAGATCGAATAGTTCCTGTTTTACAGAAGCTAGAATTTATATTTTAACATTTTTACAGTGCATCAAGGACATTAATTTAAACAGTAATAAATCATTTTTGCTCACAAAAAGATTTAAGTTTAGGTTTTTATTTCTAAAAACATGATATTTTTTTTTATTGCAGTGTAGAACTGTATAAAAGAGAAGAGTTGATTGCACTGTTATTATTTGGGTAATCAATCTAGAATAGTTGTGTCATTTTATTTTGTGTGAGTCTTCTTATTTTCATTTTGTGCATAAAAACTAGGAACTACGTAGATATCATGTAATGAAGAACTTGTTGTTGACGTTTTTTTTAAATTAACAGAAAAAAAATAGATGATCATATGCCCAACATAACAAAGAATCAGTTTATTCAAGATAAAAGAAAAACCGAACTGACTCAATTCAGAAGACAAGCTTGAACTAAGGATGCTCGAAGGGTCATTTCTTTGGTTTGCTCTGAAAGACAGACATTATTTCAATTCTATTGAAATAGTGGATATAGTCAAGATTGTGATTAGAGTAGTCAGATCATCTAGATTTTCCAGATTTCTCAAGTTTCCTGGATTTCTTGCGAATTTCAGCAATTTTTCGGTATGGGCGTATATCGTTAGTTAAGTATGAAAGAACACGAGATCCACGCTCATCCACATGAATCCTTTGTACTGCTAAAACTGAAATATCAACTGCATAAAATCAGAGTCAACAACAGCAACAGGCCAATGCTATACATGCTGTAAGCAACTATTAACAGCTTTGCAAAAGTGCATGATCCCACATTCTACTTTCATGATCTATTTTAATCGAATGTGTCGATATATTGTTCATGATGTGGAATACTTTGAAAAATACCACAAGAATCCATCTTTGAATGTTTCTTGCAAGAGCTGGCTAAAAATATTTACAGTATTTTTTGTATTTTTAGCAGAATCAATTAAATGAAAATAAAAGACTATTTTCAGATAATAATATTCAACCTCATTATATATCGAAATAAAGAGTTTTCTGTGCTAAATTATTAATCAAGTAAATTTTATTTTATTTTACTGAGGTTGTTTACAATCTTCTGAATTATTTGAAGGTTTGTTCGAAGCTTTATTTTTTTTTAGAATCACATAGATTCATATATTTTCTACCATTTCATTAATTTCAGAATGATAAATTCAGAGATGTGAGTAATCATAAGGTTGAAGTTTTTTTCTCTTCAGTCACACCCTCACCATTTTGCATCTATCAATCGTAATTATGAATGTGTCCTACATTAAACAGTAATAGAAATTCAAGAGGTGGAGAATTATCGAATTGTTAAAATGAATGACTAGAATTTCCATGAATCCGTCCAAAAAATTGTCACTATTGTTCATAACTTCAAAGTAGCTTGAAACAAGTCGTCCTTGAATCTGAAACCAAACTAAATTGTTTTCCACTGTATGAAATTCCTATCAATCAATTTGATTTTATTGTTTAACTCATTCAGCTAAACGTGGTCATGTAACTGTTCGGTTTTCATCTACTTACCACATCATATCAAATAGAATTGCTTCTCTTGCTCATTTGTATTGAACAGATTTGGACGTTTAAAAAAAAGCGAATGCTAAATATGTCAAATATGCGATGAGTTGTTATATACTATTTGTACACTAGTGAGAATAAAGAATAATCATAAGAGACATTGCGCTAGCTCATGCCACATAAGAGACTCCTTTAGTACACAAACTTCAAAGTTTCCAAGCGTCTTTAAAAAGATTGAAACTCTTAGCTATTATCTCCAACTTTTTATCTGATAATAATAACATAAATCTCGAGCATAATTTCAAATTTCGATGCTTCTCTAGGTCCAACAATCTCTGTTTAACTAAACCTAAGTGGATATTTGTTCTGGTCAAATAAGATTTAAGACAATTTTTCACAAGCTTAGAGTTAATTGAATACACAAGTAATTCAAAGAGCAAGAAACTAATTGAAGTCAACGAATCGATTTATTCAGTAATAATATATTATTTTTAAAATCTCCTTGTTCATCAAACACTTCGAAAAGAAAAATAATTTGTTTTATCGAACCATTGACTTTTGTCGACCAGCACTAACAGATATGGCTGGCAATGATTGTGAATCTTGTCCATAATTTCGTCCTAATTTAAAGCCACTGTTAGTTGTAACTGTTGTTGTTGGAGCTTGTTTCCATGGTCCTTGTGTTGTAGCTGCATTGAAAACATGCTAAAAATCGAAGAAAATCATTCGAAGAAATGGTTCTTGTATTTTGTAAACTTACACGTCGATTTGTTCTCATTTGAGCTTGTCGAAATGGCATACTATCAAGATCTGAAAGTAATAATTCTTTTTGCATACGTTCAAATCTTTCAGCAGCATCATCATAAATTTGATATTCATTCATAGTTTTATTTGATGATAGTATATCATCAATATCACCAGTATTATTTCCATTCAAATAACATTCATTATACCATATATCAAATTCTAAAAAAAAAATGAAAATTATATTGAAAACTTTCTCAGCGCAGATCCTTTAGGACTAACATACGGAACTCACATGTTGTTTAGTCTTGTTATACTAACACACAATACGTCATGTGGAAAATCTCTAACAGATTATAATTATCTTTCTAGGATAATTGGTCGTCATAGAAACTATCTGTCTTATTTATTTCTGCATTTCAAACAAATTTTTTTTCTTCTTCTTCTGACGCTCTATTTTTTGTTTGCCATGTTGCTATTCGCTTATAGTTTTTCATCTCAGTATTCTGTTTTCCTTATTTTTTTAACAATTGATCCCACTGACATAAAAGCCTGTTGTACATATCCATTATATTCTACCGTGGGATTCCAGAATAGGGAGAGAACGAACTTCCCTTCCCTCAAACTATCCGACTTTGCCAATTTTTGGCAGTTTCGAGGTAAACTTGAACAAAAACAGGATTTTAAAGCGCCATTCGCCTGTCTCTACCAGAAAGTAGAATCGAAATAAGCGGACAATGTCGTTGCGAGATGAAAAAGATTGGAGGAGAGATGGTTTGATGTAAGGTTGTCTCTTGTGAAAGGGACAGAGTCACGGTAGGTTTCATTTCTATTCTCCTCTGCCCACAGCCACCATCTCTAGAATTTTGAGAATGAAAGCACTTTCTGCCGAAGTTTTGGCTCCTCCCACCCATAAAAAAGAATATCGATAACTCTGATCTATCACATACTCTAACTCACTATTATATATTTAGACACACTCAGAAACATTAATATTGATCTTTTCCTAAAGTTATACCTTGAACAGTTCACGCCTTTTATGCTGATCATATGACGAGTGTAGCAAATCAGTATATCAGTACAGATTTTCTTTGACATCGACTATTTATTTTTTTCATCTATACAAAACTCAAAAACTGCACTATTGAAAACATCTACAGAGGTGTTGTAGCCACTTCGATTTCGAAGAAGGCTTTGAAATTTTCTAGAACAGTCTAAGTTCTATTGTCCTTGGTTACTATGAGAAGAAGAGTTGGAAAATGTCGGCTTAAAACTAATAGTCATTATATTTTTCTTCGAAAAAACGTAATATGAGTTCTACAAAAGAGACAGCAAGAAAATTAATCTTACCTTGAAGAAGTCGATTTTGACACTGATTAACCAAATTTTGACAATAGTTTATTTCTGATTTAAGATTTTTCCATTGATCATAATCATTTCGATAAGTACCTTTAAGTTCTTGTAATTTTGCTATCAATTCATATTCTTCTTCATCAATAATAGTTTCTCCATTTTCATTTAAAAATTCACCTAGAAATATGAAATAAATTTCATATAAAATAAATGAATTATTTTTACCCATAGTTAATCGTTCGTTCTTTTTACGTTCAGCATCAGTACGAGTTTTATCAATATCAGCTTTTGTTTGATTTATACATCGAGCTAAATCAGCAAATTGTTTTTTCTTTGATGCCAATATTTCTTTATTTTCCAAATAAATCTTATTTAAATTTAAACCTCGTGTTTGTTTAAAATCTTCAAATGCAACTGTCCGAGTAGGTGGCGTACTAATAGAAAATTTCATTTGATTATTCATTAGATAATTTACTGATTTAATTTACCTTGGTGGTTGATCTTTCGTCTCGGTTATATCACTTGGTTCTTTAACGCGTGGAAATTGTTCATCGTCATTTGTAATACTTCGTTGAAGAGTCACACTAGTTGGTTTCGATCCAACAGGTGGAGATTTCGATTTAGGACTAAAGAAATGTCGATGAAAAAGATAACTTTTCTTTTTTGTTAATTTTAAAATAAAATTTACTTTGCTTGCTGTTGTCCTCCTGGTGTTTTAGTTGCTGCTTGTCGTTTATTTCGTGTCATTTTAAGTAAAGCCTCTTTATTTACTCGTTGATCCTTGGAAGCTGTACCTAATCCAAAACTTTGCCCATCAAGTTCACCAGCAGTGCCTCCCATAGTGCTTGCACCTTGACTAGCACCCGACATCTAAAGAATAGTTTAGAAAAATATCGCTTTAACAAAACTAATTTATGTTATTAAATTTTGGGGAGTTTAACACACATAAAGCAGGGATAAATATCTGTCGAACAAGAGAGTTATGATGATTCTAATAACAAAATCAATAGGCCAATTGAGAGAAATGATTTACTCTCAACTTTCCTATTATTAAATAGATCTTTTCAATGGATCAATATGAGCATATTTCTTTAATTTAATATCAGCAAAAGCGAATAATTACTTACAGTTGCTGAATAATCGTCTGCCTGGAATACAATTTTTATTTTATTATTTATTTTAGAATTTTTCGTACAAGATATTGTATATGTTTGACAAAATAAATGTAGAATAGAACTTACTTTTTGACCATCTTGTTGATCATAATCATGCTTATCTGTAAGAACATATCGATCACGATATTTCTTTTCAACATCTTTTTCTGTAGCTCTAAATATTAAGATCAACTATTTCGAAATTGCATGATAAATTAACATACCGACAAACATTTTTTAATGTATTAAGAACAGCTGAAATTAAAACCAAATTTGCAATTAAACAATATCATACATTTTTTATAAAAATAATACACTGTGAAAGATAGAATTTCGACTTTTCCAAGATTAAAAAAAATCTAAAAATGTTCCAATTCGAATAGTAAAACACATACTTGAAATGATTATTTCCTAGAAACAGTTTTACTATTCATACTAAAACAGATTTTTATCAACGAATAATTATGCGTTTGGTGAGAGATTATTTTGTAAAACACAATCTAAAAAGAATATTGAAGCATAGTGGTAAAGATCGGCGCGCGGGTGCCCCCCCCCGACGCATCGGAAGGGAAAGCGCGGGGGGGGGCTCGGGGCGAACAGTTA